AAAAAAAAAAAAAAATTTTCTAATTTTACTAAATTTTTGAAATTTCACGGCCTTTGCCAGAACAGAAGACATTATCCTAGGGCGGTGAAATTTTGAACACAAGTTACTTATGTATAAAGGCAACTTTTCCGCACTACCCTCAAAGCATTATAAAAAATTTTCATTTTTCGAGCCCCCCTACTATGTAGCCAGTATAGCAAACTCAGATTGATGTAGATTCCGAATAGTCATTTTTATATGTTTTCCTCACGTAGTCATTTTCATCATGTTCATCTTGAGCATACTGATTACGCACAAATAAGAAAACAGTTATAATATGATTAAATTTCCACAAACGAATGTTTGCGGACCGGCGTGGCGACGAACTGTTGGACGTCATGGCGGCCTTAGGGCTGTCGACGGCCAACAGGGGAACCACCCCGACGTTTGTGGGTAACACCTCAAGCTTGGTGGTGGACGTCACGCTGGCGTCGCCGTCGGTCCTCGGACGTATTGCCGGTTGGTCCGTTCTATCCCACGTGGAGAACATGAGCGACCACTGGTACATCACGTTCGAGTGCACCGACGGCAGGTGTCCTCGGACGAGGCCGGACCTGTAGCCTCGCGGCGCTCGCGTCGGCTGGAAAGTCGGCCCGGAGTCGGACGCCGATCTATTCGCGGCCGGTCTATTGATTGCCCGATGGACGGCGCCCACTCCGCCTGATCGACTGGTCTCCGCGGGCGAGGTGGTGGAAGAGCTGGACAGGAGAGTCGAAGTCGCTTGCGACTTTGCACTCCCCAGAAAGCGTCCGCCACCTACTCGGGGACCTCCCGTTCACTGTTGAAAGGAGGAGGTGTCTGCCTTGAGAAGCGACTGCGTCAGGGCGAGGAGAGCCCTGACGCGGTCCAACAGGCGTGGGCAGGCAGAACCCGATCCGGATAATCCGGATCCCAGGGAGTTGCTGAGGGAGGCCCGGAAACGGCTGAAGCTCGCCATCAGGCGTAGCAAGGCTCGTTGCTGGGCCGACCTCGTGAAGTCGGTGGATCACGACCCTTGGGGGAAACCCTATAGGGTCGTGATGCGCAAGCTGCGCGGCCCACCGACTTCGGGGCAACTGGAGGCGGAGACGTTGGAACAGACGGTNCAACTTCGGGCAACTGGAGGCGGAGACGTTGAAACAGACGGTCCACGCGCTGTTCCCGACGCATCCGCCTCTCCCACCCCTGGGAGACTGGCCGTTCGTCGAAGACGACGCGACCGTTGAGGATTTCACCCTAGAGGAGATATCCGCTGCGGTAGCGAAAGTCTGGGGGAAGAACACCGCGCCCGGTCCGGACAGTATACCGAACCGGGTGTGGGGTCTCGTCCACGACCTCTCACCGCAGTGGCTGGACACCATTTTAAACGTGTGTCTCCAAAAGGGTGAAATCCCGCCCCGGTGGAAGAGGGCGAGGTTGGTGCTCTTACGGAAAGGCGACAAGCCAAAGGGAGTCCCCTCGTCGTACCGGCCTCTTTGTATGCTGGACGACGTGGGGAAAATCCTCGAGCGGCTGTTGGCCACCCGCATAGAGCACCACCTGACGACGGTCGGTGGGCTGGCGGACGTTCGGGTTTAGGAAAGGGAGGTCGACGGACGATCCGTTGCACTGCGCTACAGTGTCAGCGTGATCGGGCTCTACGGGGCTACGAAATGTCGGAACGAGCGCAGTGTTCCTAGCTCGGGGAATCGGGCGCGTCCTCAGGTTGCGGATAGCGGAACGGCCTGCAGATATGCAGGTTAGCCGCGAAATAAGCAGTCCATTAATTTAGACTGACGAATAAGCGGTCGCGGACAGCGAGCCCCTCGTTCGCTCGTTAACCCTGCAGATATGTAGGGTAGCCGTGATATAAGCCACTCCTTTTAGAGTGGACGAATAAGCGGTAGCGATCGAGGGTAATTTTCATAACGGGCAGGTGGGCCCGATAGTCTGGTAAGGCAACCACCTAGGTGAAGGTAACACCGAAATCAAATCCCCTGGCGGCAGGTAAAACACAGGGAAGGACACCCGTAAAACCAAATATGGAAGCAAACCAATTAAAAAAAACGGTTACCGCGCCAGGAGAATCGGAGTCTCCAGGGCCGTCTGGGAAAGGTGTCGCTACAGGCCTAACCCGGTCGTCATCCAGCGACTGTACCAGAACCGTGGGACTGGTGAGGCAGGGTCCAGGGGGCGTTCGCGCCCAAGTAACTGTCGGAGGGTGTGCCAAGCAGGCACCCTCCAGTGACCTTCGGGTCACTGAGGTAACTGCTGGTGGCGTTGCTACCACCAAAGATATGGTGGACGACTGGGAAGGTGTGCGGGATCGTTTTCGTGACGACATGCCGCTGACTCAGTCGGAGTTTACCCGATGGGTTAACTGGCTCCATTACATGGAGGATGGGAAGTCGACAAGTGACTGCTTTCCCTGTGGCCAATTCCGGACAGCCGAGGCGTTCCGGAGTTCGGTGTCCACTGTGTTAGGCATAATGCAGAGGGACCTGGACGACGGATGCTCATTTGCCCCGGAAAGGGTTATAGAGTACGACCCGCTGGAAGATGTCGATGAGCCCAACCAGAGAGCTGAGCTCATCGAAAAATGCATTTCAAGTCGCCGAGGAGATGCCGCAGCGGAACGCCTTATGGGCGTGGCTCGTCTCGTCGCCTCAGAACTCCTATCCCGTTACAAAGACAGCGGGGTAATGAGATCCATGGGGCGTGGTCTCCGACAAGCCGTCGATTATATGGCGTATGTGGAACGTAGAGACAGCGCAGAGAAGCAGGAATCGTCGTCTCCTGATGCTGCTGCTAAGGAGGACAAGGACGAGGCGATGCGGACGGGCGATCGTTCAGGTGGTAGAAGGGCTGAACCGTCCCTAGGAGAAGGCTCATCCACCCATCACCGAGCAGGCTCTCCTGCACTAAGCCCGTTACCGGAGGATTCTCCCCCAGTGCGACATCCTGGCAAGAGGTGGGCGCCTCTGGGGGAAGAAGGCGAGAGCGACGACGAGGCCACATTTGACGTTGGCCTCAACCACGTCGTTGCCCTCGCTAGAACTGCAGAGGTCGAGGGAAGTTTGATGACGGAGGTTCCTGGTACTCACCTGGAATACCTCATCGAACAGATTTCCCTCTCTTGCCAGGCCCTTACAGAGTTGAGGAGCTCTGTTCGGCCCTGCCGTAAGAGGTGGTACAATCCGGCGGATGAGGCGACCGCCGCGTCGGCAATGGTGGATAAAATTAGTGAACAAGTGTCTGTTCTCAGAGGAGTTATAGACAAACGCCGGGGCGTGGGAGTGCACAAAGAGGTGCAGACCGCCACGAAGCGGCTAGAGGGGATCCTGGATGAGGAAAAACGCAGAATAGCGTCGCCGTCGTCCAGGAACCCCCAGGAAGCTGCACCTGAGATGGGAGCCGCACCGCTGGTGCTAAAAGTGGCGACTGTGAAATCGTCCAAAGAAGCCGGGACGCAAACCGTTGAGGACCCACCGGCCGTCAAGCCGATGGGGACCACTAAGGAGATGACGAAGAAAAGAAAGAGGAAACGACCTGCTGCCTTAGGCCCTGCCCCCGTATCGGACATTGCGCCTACTCTGACGCAGTCTGAACATGGGGTAGGGAGCCAGGCAAACGGTGAAGGGTCTGCAGTAGGGGATGCGAGAGTTGATCTCGCTGAACCACTATGGACCAAAGTTGTAGGAAGAAAGGCAGTAACCAAGAAGCAGGAGGATGCGGCGGCCAAGCCCAAACCGCCGCCTGTAACGAGAGTTCCGAAACCGGTGAAACTGCGGACCAGAGTGCCTCGCACGGAAGCGGTTGTGATCGGCCCCCTAAGGGAAGGTCAAAAGTATGCCACGGTAATGGGCATAGCCATGGCTGCTGTTGACCTCCAAGCCCTGGGCATTCAAGTGTCCGGGACCCGGAGAACCCAGGCAGGGGCCGTCCTACTGGAGGTCCGGGGGACCGTGGAACAAGCGGACATTTTGGCAGCCAAACTGAAGATGGCTCTACAGGAGATGGACGTGCGGGTTCACCGACCTTCGATGAACTGCACTGTCCTTCTCCTGGACGTGGAGGAGTGGCAGGAGGAGCGAGACGTGCACCGAGCACTTTGCACCGCCCTGAAGTCTCCTGACGGAGAACTGCCGCCGCACGTGGGACCAATCACGGTCCACATGAACACCGGCGGTAAAGGGCGGTATGCAAGGTGCGAGGTGCCCCTCAGAGTTGCCCATCGCCTGACATCGATTAACCGAGTACGGTTTATTATAATAAAATAAATCCTTAATCCCACAACATTATATATGTTGTTATATATGTTATTATGAATGTTGGAGGAAGAATAGATAGAGGAAGACCAAAAAAGAGATGGAGGGATTCTATTGAATGCGATTTGAGAACAGCTGATGTGAGCGTAAGTGATATGGGAGATCGTGTCAAGTGGAAGTTTAGGAAAAGGGTGGCCGATACCAAGTAGTTAGGATTAAGACGAGGAAGAAGAAGAAGAATTTGTTATTATATATGTTATATAACTAATAAGAACAATTTTGTCTATACTTAATAAAATTTTTTTTGTAAATATAATTTTTCTTATAAAAATTCACTATAAAAAAATTTTTATTCATCTTCTTTTTTTTCGGAATTCTTAGCTTTAAAAGATTTTGACATCTGAAAAAAAAATTTGACATTATACTGTATTTAAGAAAAAAATTACATGTTAGTTAATAGCTATTGCATTAAAGAATCAATAATAATTTTATTATTGTGTCTGCTACTTTTTCTTAGGTCAGACCGATTTTTCTAAACAATACCTCAAAAGATAAAAAATCGTATCTGGTTGTAGACATTACCCTCAAAAATTGAAAATGTTTCACTTGTTCCTCGTAAATGTTGGGAATTCCACCAAAAATTATTATTTTTAAAATCTGTTAATTTTGACATTTTTTTAAGTTTTTTAAAAAAAAAAAATTGTCATAACTTAATGAAAAATGAACAAATCAAAATATTTTTTTTTTTTATTTTAACCTTAAGTAATTCCCTTTTATGTGATATAGAATTTTTTTTGGAAATCTAATGCTTTACTTGCCCACAGGGAAGATTCAAAATAGCAACTTTTTTACAAAACTCAACTTTTATTTGATATAAATTGTTAAACCGTCAGGTATTCAAAAAATTTATATCAAATGAAAGAAAAATACCTGAAATTTCTACAAAAATAAATGTATTTTAATTTGTTAATTTTTAATACTAATTGACATAAAACATAAAGTTAAATTTATTTAAAAAATTTTTTCAGCTTAAATTGCCAATTTTTATTTAAAAAAGAATGCGACGAACATTAAAAGATTCAATAATTGCCTAAGGCAATGATTTTTTTGCAATTTTTCCTCAATTCTCTTTGAGTTTTGCTTTTGAAAATACACCAATTACTTAAAATTAAACATCTACAGAATTGCATCGAAGCACTTATTATGATAGTGTTTTTAATCACTGTCTAATATCATCAGTACTANAGCGTCGCCGTCGTCCAGGAACCCCCAGGAAGCTGCACCTGAGATGGGAGCCGCACCGCTGGTGCTAAAAGTGGCGACTGTGAAATCGTCCAAAGAAGCCGGGACGCAAACCGTTGAGGACCCACCGGCCGTCAAGCCGATGGGGACCACTAAGGAGATGACGAAGAAAAGAAAGAGGAAACGACCTGCTGCCTTAGGCCCTGCCCCCGTATCGGACATTGCGCCTACTCTGACGCAGTCTGAACATGGGGTAGGGAGCCAGGCAAACGGTGAAGGGTCTGCAGTAGGGGATGCGAGAGTTGATCTCGCTGAACCACTATGGACCAAAGTTGTAGGAAGAAAGGCAGTAACCAAGAAGCAGGAGGATGCGGCGGCCAAGCCCAAACCGCCGCCTGTAACGAGAGTTCCGAAACCGGTGAAACTGCGGACCAGAGTGCCTCGCACGGAAGCGGTTGTGATCGGCCCCCTAAGGGAAGGTCAAAAGTATGCCACGGTAATGGGCAAAGCCATGGCTGCTGTTGACCTCCAAGCCCTGGGCATTCAAGTGTCCGGGACCCGGAGAACCCAGGCAGGGGCCGTCCTACTGGAGGTCCGGGGGACCGTGGAACAAGCGGACATTTTGGCAGCCAAACTGAAGATGGCTCTACAGGAGATGGACGTGCGGGTTCACCGACCTTCGATGAACTGCACTGTCCTTCTCCTGGACGTGGAGGAGTGGCAGGAGGAGCGAGACGTGCACCGAGCACTTTGCACCGCCCTGAAGTCTCCTGACGGAGAACTGCCGCCGCACGTGGGACCAATCACGGTCCACATGAACACCGGCGGTAAAGGGCGGTATGCAAGGTGCGAGGTGCCCCTCAGAGTTGCCCATCGCCTGACATCGATTAACCGAGTACGGTTNGTCTGTGAAGAAATCACCAGGAAGATTAAGAGGCTCACCATAAACAAGTTCCGCAGACGTGGCTTTTAAGTCTTCCTTAAACGCAGAACGTATTCCGAGAAGCACGATAGGCAGTGACTCAGTCCACGAGTCTTTTGCGTGGGCCATGATGGCTGCCTTTAGTTGTCGGTGCATTCGTTCGACGAATCCGTTTGCAGCAGGATGCCAACTGGTAGTGGGGCGAAGCGTAAAACCAAAACGTTTTGCTAAAGTTTTTAAAGTAGCTGAAACAAACTGAGTACCACGGTCAGTCGTAACGTATTGAGGTACTCCGAAGCGTGAAATCCAGCAATTGAGGAAACCCTTAGTGACATCGTCTGCTGTTATACGTTCGAGTGGATACACCTCCGGCCAACGGGTGAAACGATCGATTACCGTCAGACAGTACCTGAAGGACTGAAGGATTGCCGTTCCTGGGCACGTGCCTGCGTCCACTGTCAGTGATCGAAAATAAGCCGACACGTCTCAGCCCCACTGGGAAACTTTGAAACACCTTCACGCCGATTCAAACATGTTCATGTCGATATCATCGGTCCATTGCCGCCATCACAGTCCTTCAGGTACTGTCTGACGGTAATCGATCGTTTCACCCGTTGGCCGGAGGTGTATCCACTCGAACGTATAACAGCAGACGATGTCACTAAGGGTTTCCTCAATTGCTGGATTTCACGCTTCGGAGTACCTCAATACGTTACGACTGACCGTGGTACTCAGTTTGTTTCAGCTACTTTAAAAACTTTAGCAAAACGTTTTGGTTTTACGCTTCGCCCCACTACCAGTTGGCATCCTGCTGCAAACGGATTCGTCGAACGAATGCACCGACAACTAAAGGCAGCCATCATGGCCCACGCAAAAGACTCGTGGACTGAGTCACTGCCTATCGTGCTTCTCGGAATACGTTCTGCGTTTAAGGAAGACTTAAAAGCCACGTCTGCGGAACTTGTTTATGGTGAGCCTCTTAATCTTCCTGGTGATTTCTTCACAGACAAGCAAGATAATAGCAGTACGAACGACCCTACTAGCTTACTAGATCGTCTTCGCAGTGTTATGAATAAAATTCGTCCAGTACCTGCATCTCGCCACTCAAATCCACGATCATTTGTTTTTGCGGACCTTAAGGACTGTTCACACGTATTTCTCAGGGAGGGAGGTGTCCGAGCAGCACTTCAACCGCCATATCAAGGTCCCTTCGAAGTAATTGCCCGAAATGACAAAACGTTCACAATAAAAGTTCGAAATCAATCAGTTACGGTGACGATTGATAGAGTAAAACCTGCCTACCTCATGGTGAACGAAAGCACAACCGTTAGCCAGGCACATGCTCCACCAGCAACTGCCCCGGATACGACCAAACAGAAACAACCGCCTAATACCGATCCATCAACACAGCCAGTACGAACAACTCGCTCAGGCCGCCGAGTCAGATTCCCGGACATTTTTGACCCTAGCTAACTCCACTCCGTAGGGGGGTGGTGTGGCGGTCGAATATTCTAGAATGTCCGGCCGCCGCCGCCTCTAGAAGATTCGTCGCTCTACATAAGCGTGTGGCGGTCGAATGTCTAGAGAGTTCCGACGCCGCCTCTAGAAGATTCCTCTGACTATTTAAGGGCAAGATCGTCGCTCCAGTCAGTCAGTCGATCAGTCAATCACTTACGCATTCTGTCTTACACGCGCTTCGTTTCTCGCTGTTATTTATTAGTTCGTTGTAATACAGTTCGTCTCTCGCTGTTATTTGTTATTTGTTAGTTCGTTGTAATATAGTATAGTTGTTATTAAATCGTAAAAGTGTTTATTACTTCTATATATTACACCTCGCTACATTGGTGACCTCGACGATAACAAGTATGAACGCCGAAGAACTACGCAATCAATTGGAGGAGTTACGCCAAGAAAACGCTCGCCTTGCAGCACTACAGGCACAGCAATATCCAACAGCTTCAGTGAATCGCGTTGCCGTCAAGTTGCCACCTTTCTGGTCCGAAAGACCGAGCTTATGGTTCTCACAGGTTGACTCGCAGTTTGCAATCTCGGGAATAACAAGTGAGGAAACAAAATTTAATTATGTTGTGGCTCAGCTTGATACGCGTTACGCCGCCGAAGTAGAGGATATTATTACTAACCCACCGCCTACTGAACGCTACAAACATCTACGCGCAAAACTCGTTGAACGGTTGTCTATCTCAGAAGAACAACGTGTGCGGCAACTCATCAATGAAGAAGAACTAGGTGACCGTAAGCCATCACAGTTCTTACGACATCTCCGTTCCCTTGCCGGCACTACTACATTACAAGACAATATTTTACGTCAACTTTGGCTCCGCCGTCTACCATCACATGCACAAGCTATTTTAACCGCACAATCAGAGCTTCCTCTGGATAAGGTAGCCGAGCTGGCTGACAAAATTGTTGAAGTGCAGCCAGCCCCCTCGCAATTCGTCCATGCTGTTGCCACGACGAACAATAAAAAGGAACTCGATGTTTTAGCCGCCATTGAAGCACTCGCAAAACAGGTAAGCGAATTATGTGCTAAACGCCCGCAACGTTCCCGCTCTAGGTCACGTAACCGTTCAAACGTGGAACTGACTAACGGCAAAGGATGGTGTTGGTATCATAGCACTTATGGAGAAAAGGCTGCCAAATGTAAGGCTCCCTGCAAGTATCAGGAAAACTCCAACGACAGTCAGTAGCGGCGGCAACAGACTGTCCGAACCCGAGCAGCCGCCTGTTTGTTACAGATCAAATAACAAAACGCCAATTTTTAGTCGACTCCGGTTCCGACTTATCTTGTTACCCTCAACGGCTACTACGGGAACGACGCCATGCCACCGATTACGACCTCAGCGCGGCCAACAACAGTACCATAAAAACTTACGGGACGGTCCATCTCAATTTGAATTTAGGACTTCGACGCAGTTTCCCGTGGAGTTTTATTGTCGCCGACGTGAGTACTCCTATCATTGGTTCCGACTTCATGGCATACTACCACTTGCTGCCGGATTGCCGTACCAAACGTCTTATTGATGGTGTCACAGGCTTGGCTGTGAATGGTAAGGTTTCCTCTGTAAATCAATGCAGCATAAAATCAGTTGCCAACACTTCCCCTTGGGCTGCACTTCTCGCAGAATTTCCGGACATCACACGTCCCACCGGATTGCCCAGGACAATAAAACATCAAACAGTGCACCACATTCTTACGACACCTGGTCAGCCAATAGCCTGCCGCCCACGCCGCTTAGCTCCAGGTAGACTAAAAATCGCCAAACAGGAATTCGCGGAAATGGTCAAGGCAGGTACCGCTAGACCTTCAAGCAGTCCGTGGTCTTCACCATTACATTTAGCACCGAAAGGGGAGAACAGCTGGCGTCCTTGCGGTGATTACCGCGCGCTGAACGCCCGAACTATACCAGACTCCTATCCAGTCAGACACATACATGATTTCTCGCACAACCTGGCTAATTGCACGCTATTTTCCACAATCGATCTGGTAAAGGCTTACCATCAAATACCTGTTAATCCGGACGATATATGCAAAACAGCCATTACCACTCCATTCGGACTTTACGAATTTCCTTTTATGACATTCGGATTGCGAAATGCTGGACAAACTTTTCAACGCTTCATAGACGAAGTTACCAATGGGTTGGACTTCTGTTATGCATATATTGATGACATTTTGGTATTCTCTAAATCGGAAGAGGACCACAAACAGCATTTACGCACTCTTTTCGGGAGACTTTCTGACTACGGTGTTGTCGTTAACCCGCAAAAATGTGTATTAGGTTCGGCTGAGGTGAAATTTCTAGGTTACCTAGTATCTTCTGAAGGCACCCGCCCGCCACCGGAACGCGTCGAAGCCCTACGACAGTATCCATTGCCAAAATCTATGCAAGGATTACGCCGGTTTTTGGGAATGGTAAATTTTTATCGCCGGTTTATTCCCAAAGCTGCCGACCTGCAAGCACCACTTCACGGTATTCTCAAAGGCCCGAAGACAAAAGGTTCCCAACCGATAGAATGGACTCCCGAGTTAGAAAAAGCGTTCACCACATGCAAAGAAAGTCTTGCGACCGCTACTCTTTTAGCACATCCTCATCCAGCCGCACGACTTGGACTATTCACAGACGCATCTAGCCAATCTATCGGCGCATGTCTGCAGCAGCGAGTCAATAACATCTGGCAACCCATAGCATTTTTTTCAAAGAAAATGTCGGTGAAACAAAGTGCGTGGCCTGCGTATTATCGTGAGTTGCTTGCCATCTATGAATCGGTGAAGTATTTCAGGCACATTGTCGAAGCACAACCATGTACCATTTTCACCGATCATAAGCCACTCGTATATGCTTTCACCCAACGGAGAGAAAAGATACCTCCTACGCAACTCAACCAGTTGACATTCATATCCGAATTCACCACCGACATTCAACACATTAAAGGTGATGAAAATATCGTCGCGGATACAATGTCACGCATTGAAGTTGTGTCTCTCCCGCTGGACTACCGAGCTCTTGCTGCATCTCAAGACACGGATGATGAACTCAAACATTTTTCTGACAACAATTCATCTCTTCATTTGGAGAAGGTACTAGTGCCAGGATCTTCAATCTATATTTATTGCGACACGTCAACAGGACGCCCACGACCATTTTTGCCACAACGATTCCGGCGTCACGCATTTGATCAGTTACACAACCTTAGTCACCCCGGTGCACGCGCAACAGCTCACTTAGTTTCAGAACGATTTGTGTGGCCAGCAATGAAAAAGGATTGCCGTTCCTGGGCACGTGCCTGCGTCCACTGTCAGCGATCGAAAATAAGCCGACACGTCTCAGCCCCACTGGGAAACTTTGAAACACCTTCACGCCGATTCAAACATGTTCATGTCGATATCATCGGTCCATTGCCGCCATCACAGTCCTTCAGGTACTGTCTGACGGTAATCGATCGTTTCACCCGTTGGCCGGAGGTGTATCCACTCGAACGTATAACAGCAGACGATGTCACTAAGGGTTTCCTCAATTGCTGGATTTCACGCTTCGGAGTACCTCAATACGTTACGACTGACCGTGGTACTCAGTTTGTTTCAGCTACTTTAAAAACTTTAGCAAAACGTTTTGGTTTTACGCTTCGCCCCACTACCAGTTGGCATCCTGCTGCAAACGGATTCGTCGAACGAATGCACCGACAACTAAAGGCAGCCATCATGGCCCACGCAAAAGACTCGTGGACTGAGTCACTGCCTATCGTGCTTCTCGGAATACGTTCTGCGTTTAAGGAAGACTTAAAAGCCACGTCTGCGGAACTTGTTTATGGTGAGCCTCTTAATCTTCCTGGTGATTTCTTCACAGACAAGCAAGATAATAGCAGTACGAACGACCCTACTAGCTTACTAGATCGTCTTCGCAGTGTTATGAATAAAATTCGTCCAGTACCTGCATCTCGCCACTCAAATCCACGATCATTTGTTTTTGCGGACCTTAAGGACTGTTCACACGTATTTCTCAGGGAGGGAGGTGTCCGAGCAGCACTTCAACCGCCATATCAAGGTCCCTTCGAAGTAATTGCCCGAAATGACAAAACGTTCACAATAAAAGTTCGAAATCAATCAGTTACGGTGACGATTGATAGAGTAAAACCTGCCTACCTCATGGTGAACGAAAGCACAACCGTTAGCCAGGCACATGCTCCACCAGCAACTGCCCCGGATACGACCAAACAGAAACAACCGCCTAATACCGATCCATCAACACAGCCAGTACGAACAACTCGCTCAGGCCGCCGAGTCAGATTCCCGGACATTTTTGACCCTAGCTAACTCCACTCCGTAGGGGGGTGGTGTGGCGGTCGAATATTCTAGAATGTCCGGCCGCCGCCGCCTCTAGAAGATTCGTCGCTCTACATAAGCGTGTGGCGGTCGAATGTCTAGAGAGTTCCGACGCCGCCTCTAGAAGATTCCTCTGACTATTTAAGGGCAAGATCGTCGCTCCAGTCAGTCAGTCGATCAGTCAATCACTTACGCATTCTGTCTTACACGCGCTTCGTTTCTCGCTGTTATTTATTAGTTCGTTGTAATACAGTTCGTCTCTCGCTGTTATTTGTTATTTGTTAGTTCGTTGTAATATAGTATAGTTGTTATTAAATCGTAAAAGTGTTTATTACTTCTATATATTACACCTCGCTACATATTTTAATACTTAAAACTGGCATAACTTTTTGAAATATGAAGAAATAAAATAATTTTTTTTACTATACAGAAACCTTAGTTGTTTTCTTTTTATTTAATATAATTTTTTGAAATTTTTATTATAATCCCCAATTATAAAAAAAAAATTTTTAATTCTAGAAGCTTGGAGAAATATCTCAGTATTATACTTATGTAAAAAATGACCACTTTAAAAAAACTTTTTTTAATTAATTATCTCCAAATTAATAGGAGTATAAAATTTGTTTTTATATTGAATTACACGGTAAAATAATATCACTAAAATGAAATAATTTTTAATGATCATAGACCAATATACACTTTACTAAACCAAATTTTTCAAATTGATTTCAAGTCTAAAATTAGATATTTCTATTACTTCATTTTTGAGATTATTGCTTATTAGAAAGCAATTATTTACACATGAAAAATTTTTATTTAATAACAATTTTTTTATCAAATTAATTAATTTTTAAAAATAATCCGTTTAAATTTTGAATTAAAAATGTCCGTTTTAACTAATTTTTTGATCCTTTTAAGTTAACTTTTGTGAAATATCATAGTTAAATAATGTTGAACTTTTAAACACTATTTAACTTAACTTTCAAGTTTATAACTTATGTCCTTAAATAGTAAATTTTATGAGAAAAAAAATTGTATTTTTTGGATTGATATGTGATCAGGAACATTTTTTTGTATTTATTGTAATAAATGGTTTTAATGGAAATCTTAGTAATTATTTATACTAGTTAACAATACTAGTTTCAACATACATAAATACTGTACCACGACCACCAATGCTACTGTTTTTTTTTAATTATAAATTAATATTTTTAATATATTTCTAATTTTAAATAATATTAGTCACAAGCGATCAATTTTTTTAAATAATAGGTGAATTGTAATTTTTACTTATTGTTGAATAATATTGATGCAAACAAGAACAAATCAATTTTAGTGAGAATTACAGTACTATAATTTGACGCCCTGTCAGATTTACTTTTAATTTAAAAGATTAAGTCCATTTATATTCTTATCGGAATAACTTACAAATTTTTGGAGTTTGGATTTCTGACTCTTCTTATCTAATGTATCCCGAAATATTTTACCACATGGCATTATCGTTTCTATGCATTTTTCTTGTGTCCAGTTATATGCTTTTTTAATGTTATTCGAAATAGTACAGATTTCTCTTGCGAATTTTTTATCCACAGCCCCGGAAGTTCTTTTGCCTATGATCCATAAAACTCTCAACTCAGAAAATAAATAAAGGAATTCAGTTTTAATGTAACCTATAAATGATCAATAATTTTATTTATTTATTAGATGATAGTTAGGAAAATAAAAATGGATTTCTCTCGGTAAACACTAGATAATGGGATACATGAAAAAAATAAGTTGCATTAGAAAAAGAACAAAAAACAGCTATCTAATGAGCAATTCACGCAATCGGTTTATACACCTTCCACAGAAAAATAATTATATACAATAATAATTTAAAATAATTTTTAAATGTTCAAAATAATTTTGGGTACATAACTCGCGCTATTATCATATAACACGGAGATTTCTCCGTGTTATACGATATGATTAAATTTTTTAAAGGCCTAAAGGACCGCGTTATGCTCTTCAATGTGGATGCGGGGTACGGTGAGTGAATTTAAAGGAGCTACAGCTTGTCCTGCATAGTGTTGAGGAGCTGTAGTCGAGGTTGTGGACCCGGTGTGTGAGCGAAGTAAAGTGAAAGGCCGTCAAAAATTTTGTGGATTTTGCTGGACTTTTCATCGTGGCGTATGGCACGCGGTGTTGGTCAGTCAAATATTCATAGTAGGGCGAAGGCTGATAAAAGTGACACGAATCGCGGGGCATTCTGTATCATGAAGTGACGCGGGGCTGTGTCAAGATATATAAAAAATAGAGGTTAAAATGAAATTCAACAGTACATTAACGAACGAAATCATAGATGACTAGGCAAGGAATACTTCTGATTATAATATATTAGAGAATATAACTATGCAGAATATAGTTTTGAATATTTCAATTGTGGTGTCTATTTAAACGCCAAGAGTTACATAGAGAAGATTACGACTTAAGATACCTAACCTTTTTTTAATAACTTTGGAAAATCTACAAAATTAATTTTTCTTTTTAAAAATATTTTTTAAACTTGTATACGTTAAAAAATATCAAAATTTACCAATTTTAAAAATCGTAATTTCTTTGTGAGTTTCCACCATATACGGAGAAAGACGGAAAAATTTTCAATTTTTGAGGGTAATGTCTTCGATTAGATACGATTTGTGATATTTTAACGTATCGTTGAGAAAAATCGGTCAAGGGAGACTTAAGAAAAAGTAGTAAAAAACACACACACAAAAAATTAATACATCATGGTAAAATTAATAACGGTTTTTGCCAGTGCCACTAACCAATGCCTACAACTTGTTTATATAATATATGGTTGACCTCAATCCTCATAATTATTAACATAGTAATTCTTTTACATGACAATCATACTAATCATTTGTAATTGTTTCTAAATACTTTACATTAATGGCAATAACTGATACAAAAAAAAACATAATAACATTAATACCTTCTCAGCTTCTCATCAAAGCTAAAATTTCTTTACCTCAATTATTGCACAATGAAATTATAATTTATGTATTAAAATTGTATTTACCACTAGATCGATGTAAATGTTGTGCTATACTATTATCATATAAACACATAATAAATTTACATTTTGCTATTTCAAAATTTTTTCTTGACTTCACTAACTTTTCATATTCTTCCTTTTCTACAGCATCTTCTTCTTCTTCTATTTCTTTATTTTCGTTATTATCCATAGCTTGATATCGTGCCAATAAAATAGTCTACACAAAATAAAAATGTGCTGAATCCTTTAAACTATAGTAGCATATCAAATAAAACATGAACAAATTTTAAGCAGTGATAATAAAAAACCCCAGCACAGGGGGGTCGCGGCACAGTGGTGACTAGGCATGACCCCCCTGTGCTGGGTTTTTTTTCTTTACGAAGAAAAAATAAATTTATAAATTTTCAAGAAAATGAGTGCAACCTCCCATACTAAAATTATTGATGACCCATCAACATTTTTTGTAAGAAAAGAACTATAAATGGATATCTAAAAAAAATACATTGTATTCATTTATTTTAATTTTTGCAATCTTATACATTTATAATTTTATTTATATAAGATAAATAAATAAAAATCATTCATAGCAAATTTAAATGTTAGTTTTAATAGATATATAGAATTTTTTTTATAAATCTCAGAATAATACATTATAATTAAACTAAATTAATTTAGTTTAATTTAATTTTTGGGATGTTGTCGTCAGCGCTTTTAGCGATTTCCAGTTTATTGTGTTAAAGCGATCATAACATGATAATTATTTTAAGATATGATACATAATATTACAATAATCAATTTAACACATATATACATATATAATAGCTAGTACAATAGTGTATACGTTATGACAGATAAATTAATTATTTGTTTGTATACAATTAATATAAAAAACCCAGCACAGTGGGGTCGAGGCATAGTGGAGACGTTGCATAGTTTGCTCCAGTGTAGCTTTAATCTGACAGATTAAAATCACTATCATAAAATACGCTTCGATGCAAATCTTTAGATAGTGTTTAATTTTAAAAAATTCGTGGAATATACCATAAGCAACATGATCTGCTGGTTCGTTATTAATATCCTGATTCAGATAAAGTATGTCGAATGAAAAAGGGATTATAAAAAAATTTTATTTCTCATAAAAAACTGTGTTGATCCATACACTTTTCAATAAGTTATATCATTATAAAGTTAAAAATATAAAAAAAAATCCAGAATTTTCACACAATAATAGCATTCGGTAGCCATTTTCACGGTGAAGACAAAATAAAGTCCGAAATTTTTTTTTGCATAATAAAGTGTATTACAGTAGCTTTAATTTAAGATATATATAAAAGTGTTCGACTTTCCGGAACTTTTTCAAAAGTTAAGTTGAAAAAGTTAATTTTTTGTGAAAAAGTTGTCATTTTAAATCCACCCTTGTGGGAAGGTTAAGGGTTAAATTTATAAAAAAAATATACCAAATGAAAGCTAATGATATTATGCATCTACATAAAAAAAAATTATATTGATATGTTCATTTTTGAAAAAGTTATGGCACTTTTAAGAAAAAAAAATTGAAAAAATTTCGAAAATTAGCGATTTTTAAATTTGTAATTTTTTTGGAGGTTTCCCCCATTTACGGGGAATGAGGGAAATTTTTTCAATTTTTAATGGTAATGTCTTCGACTAAATACGATTTGTGATCTTTTGACGTATCATTGAAAGAAATCGGTTCCGTGAGAGCTGAGAAAAAGTGCTAACAGACCCAAAAAAAAAAAAAAAAAAACACATCTTAGTAAAATCAATACCTTCTCAGCTTCGCATCGAAGCTAAAATCTAATGGATCCATTAGAATGTTCAATCATGGGATTTTTGTTACAACAATAATTGTTAATCAATTATTGATAAAATCATATCTCACAATATGATATAATTTAAAATTATAATTTATTTTATATTTAATAGATATTTTTTTAATTCATAATTAATTATTAAATTAATAAGTTCCTGTAAATAATTATTTAAATATACATAAAATCAAATAACATACAATACATACTAAGATCCAAAAAAATCGTAAGTATAAAAAATTCATTTTGATTTATTAAAAATAACTAAAGCTATATGAACGCTAAATAAGATAAATTTTCAAGTCATTTTATACTATAATTCAATTATTTTTACAACCAGTTATTTGTTTTTAAATTTTTATTGTTTTATGAAATTCGCAGATTTTAAATTGAAAAACAATATTGAACAACATTCTATTAATAAATAAATTTTGTGCATAATTTAGCAATTGTTTAAATTTAAAATTCTTTAATTTTCTATGATTTTGAAAATACAGCAGCCAATCAAGCATTTTTTATTCAATAAATTATCATTTTAAGAGTTATAAAAAAAAAAATTTAATAATTGTTGTTAACAAAAGATTATATTAACAAAAAATTTAAAACACTTAATTTGTATTTCAATTTAAACATTTTAATAAAATAATTTTTCAACTATAAGATTTGAAAACCAATAAAAGCTTAAATAAAATGTTACATAGGTGTAATCAAGGTCAAATTTGTTAAGTGTTTAAAGAGAAAATGTATAAAAATGATCAAATTAGATATCAACATTTTATTAATTTTATAATTAATAAAATTGGTGTCCAATTCAATATCCACAGCCTCCATACAATGGAGCCAGTCAACACATCGGGTAAACTCCGATTGGGTCAGCGGCATATCGTCGCGGAAGCGATCACGCACGCCTTCCCAATCGTCCACTATCTCCTCGGTGATAGTAAAACCACCAATTTTTTTACAATGGTTTCCTTCCATGATTGGTTTTTACGGGTGTCCTTCCCTGCGTTTTAACTACCGCCAGGGGATTTGTTTTTGGTGTTACCTTCACCTAGGTGGTCGCCTTACTAGGCTATCGGGCCTACCCGCCCGTTATGGATTCACCCTCGATCGCTACCGCTTATTCGTCCACTTTACAGTGGCTTATATCACGGCTACCCTGCATATCTGCAGGGTTAACAAGCGAACGAGGAGCTCATTGTCCGCGACCGCTTATTCGTCAGTCCAAATTAATGGATTGCTTATTTCGTGGCTAACCTGCAGATATGCAGGCCGTTCATTTATCCGCAACCTGAGGACGCTCCCGATTCCCCGAGCTAGGGAAACTGCGCTAGTGCCGACGTTTCGTAGCCCCGTAGAGCCCGATCACACCGACACTGTGGCGCAGCAAAACGGGAAATTAAGAATAACAAGAACAGAAAAATTTGTTTTATGGAATGTGGTATAATACTATATTTTCTTAATATCATTGACACGTCTATATAACGTATCATTAATATCTACCCATGCATAATACTTCAACTTGACATTTCAATTGAAAATAAAAAAGTTGATTATGGCTTCTAATGAGGAAAATTGCAAATAAAATTTTTATTAAAATCTATGATTTATTATTATTATAATCTTAGCTTAATTTGAATAAATCATTCAACTTATCCGAAATTAGTTGATTTTATTTAATTACACTATATATTTCTGTGTATCGTAAAATAGCATGCATTATATATAGGAGCTATAGTAAAAAAAAAGCACATTGGGGTGGCGGCACTGTGGGGTCGTGGCATAGTTGGGTCCAGTATAGATGATATCTGACAGTAATTAAAATCACTATCATAAAAAACGCTTCGATGCAAATCTGTAGATAGTGTTTAATTAAAAAAAAAAAAAACCCAGCACAGGAGCGTCGCGGCACAGTAGTGACGTGGCATAGATGGATCAAGTATAATGATATCTGACAGTGATTAAAATCACTATAAAAAAAAAACGCTTCGATGCAAATCTTTAGATAGTGTTTAATTTTAAAAAATTGGTGGATTATTCCAAAAGCTTCATAAACTGCTAGTTCCTTATTAATATCCTGATTAAGACAAAGTATGTAGAATAAAAAAGAGATTATTAGAAAATAGTATTTCCCATAAAAAAATTATATTGATCAATACACTTTTCAATAAGTTATAGCATTATAATGTTAAAAATGTAAAAAATAAAATTGAGAATTTTCACACAATAATAGCATTTGGTAGCCATTTTCACCTTGAAGATAAAATAAAGTCCGAAATTTTTTTTTTCCATGATAAAGTATATTACATTAGCTTTAATTTAAGATATATATAAAAGTGTCAGACTTTCCGGAACACTTTCAAAATTTAAGTTGAAAAAGTCAATTTTTTGTGAAAAAGTTGTCATTTTGAATCCCCCCCTGTAGGCAGGTAAAAAGTCAGATTTATAAAAAAAATATACCAAATGATAGGTAAAGACATCATGCATCTACAAAAAAAAGAATTATATTGATCCATACATCTTTCGAGAAGTTATAGCATTATAAAGTTAAAAATATAAAAAAGAATTTTTTTACAAAAATCGTATTTTTTTTATTAAGTTTAATGTCTGTTTTCACCATGAAGATAAAATAAAGTCCGAAATTTTTTTTTATCATAATAAAGTATATTACATTAGCTTTAATTTAAGATATATATAAAAGTGTCAGACCTTCCGGAACATTTTCAAAAGTTAAGTTGAAAAAATTAATTTTTTGTGAAAAAGTTGTCATTTTAAATCCCCCCTTGTGGGCAGGTTAAGGGTTCAATTTATGAAAAAAATATACCAAATGAAAGGTAATAATATTATGCATCTATATAAAAAATATATAGATATGTTAATTTTTGAAAAAGTTATGGCACTTTTAAGTAAAAAAAATTTTTTTTTTTCATTTTATAGTATATATAATATGCTTTAATTTGATATATGTTTAAAGGACGCAGTATTTCCGGAACATTTTCAAAAATTAAGTTGAAAAAGTTATTTTGTGTAAAAAAGTTACTATTTTAAATCCCCCCAGTAAGCAGAATAAGTGTTAGATTTTCAAAAAAAATTATATCAAATGAAAGGGAAATATCTAAGGTTTCAATACAAAAAAATATTATTTTTATTTGTTCATTTTTGAAAAAGTTATGGCAGTTTTAAGTACAAAAAACATCCCGATAAAATGTAATTTTTATCGCAAACATTACATTTTTTTTTAAATTTTCGACAGCCATTTGCACATAGAAGATAAGATGTCGGGACAAATTTTTTTTTTTCATTTGATAGTATATAACATAATCTTTGATTTGATATATGTTTAAAGGACGCAGTATTTCCGGAACATTTTCAAAAGTTCAGTTGAAAAAGATCTATGTTTTTTACAATATTTTAAGTTTTGAACGCCCCCTATATAAGGGGAAATTGTCCAATTTTAATAAAAAGTATGTCAAATGAAAGATGTACTTATAATGTATTTAGAAAAAAAAAATTTGTGCTGATATATACATTTTTCAAAAAGTTATAGCATTTTTAAGTTGAAAATTTAAAATCGAAAATCGAAAATTTTAACACAAAAATAGTGTTTTTTTAACTACGGCAGCCGTTTAAATGTAGAAAAAAAAGTGTCGGGACAAATTTTTTTTTTTCATTTTGTAGTACATAAAATAAGCTTTAATTTGATATATGTTTAAAGGACGCAGTATTTCCGGAACATTTTCAAAAATTAAGTTGAAAAAGTTAGTTTTTGTAAAAAAGTTGCTATTTTAAATCTCCCCCAATGAGCAGGTTAAGTGTTAGATTTTCAAAAAAGTGATATCAAATGAAAGGTAATTATCTAAGGTTTTAGTATAAAAAAAAATTATGTTGATTTGTTGATTTTTTAAAAAGTTATAGAAGTTTTAAGAAAAAAAAGTGAAAAAATTTCGAAAATTAGCGATTTTTAAATTTGTAATTTTTTTGGATATTTCCCCCATTTGCGGGGAACGAGGGAATTTTTTTCAATTTTTAAGGGTAATGTCTTCAACTAGATACGATTTGTGATCTTTTGACGTATTTTTGAAAGAAATCGGTCCAGTGAGAGCTGAGAAAAAGTGGCAACAGACATAAAAAAAAACACATCATAGTAAAACTAATACTATCTCAGCTTCGCATCGAAGCTAAAATACACATTATGTTAAAATCAATACCTTCTCAGTTTCGCATCGAAGCTAAAATAATAACGCAGTGTCTCTAATTGAGGTGTAATAAACTTTTGTTTGGTTAGTTTCTAATGTCCTAACTAAGAGGCAACGAAACGGCAGAGCCAGTTCACGAATACTATATAACGTGATTATGTATAATTTTTTTTGTTATAAGTCACACGGATGGCATTTTCTATTGTTTAAGTCACATGGATGACGTTTTCTATTATTTTATTTAAATTGCATGGATTATGTTTGATACTTTCAATTGCGAATCATTAGATTAAAATATTTACCTATGAACATTGGAATATAATAATTGTACACAAAAATCTGATTGGTGAGTTTGGCAGTTACTGTTACATTTATGTAAATTATTAGCACATTATATTCATTATTATTATTTTTATTTGTTAAGACTTGTTATTATATCAGTGCGTCAGTACTAGTGCGACAACGGCCGCAATAACCTATCCGCTAGCTCCGCTCAATGTCAATTAATTATAAATTGTATAGAATTTATATTTGTGAATTAATAAATCATTTTAATATTAATTACATAAAATTATAAAAACAGAAATAAAATAACACACGAACCATTACGTGGCGTTAACATATGGTCCTATCGGTACGGATTGATTTAAGTGCGATCGTGAATCATTACGCGACTGAATTTGCAAGAATTAAATAAAATACTACCAGAAGTATTAGTATTGAGGGTCAGTGAATTATATTGTTACATAGTGGTGGGTTGTTAAGAAAATCGAGCTTTCGTTGCGCATATATAGAAATAGAATTGCAAAAACCCAAGTTCAACAGTCAACATGGCAACAGGTGAAGTGAGGAATGAGTTAGCAGTATGCATTATAAGACGAGGACAGATAAAGGCACAGCTAACAAAATTCCAAGCATTTATAAATGACCTAGCGAATCATAACAATCAAACCCAGATAGGATTGCGTTTGGAAAAAATAAAATAAAAGTGAAATGAGTTTGATAACATACAAAATAATATTGAAGCGTTTGACCCGAGTGAAGAGAATTTAGAGTATCGTGACATACTTGTTGATACT